TAACCGCATGGAAAAACTTGAAATAATTAAAGATAGAACTACTTTTATAGTCTAGCAAAATTTCATGTGTATCCAAAAGAAATGAACTAGTACATCAAAAAAGCAATGTGCACCCCCCATGCTCATTATTATATTATTTCCAGCAGTCAAGGTATATAATCAACCCAAGTGTCCTTATTTGTCAGTCACATGTGAAATCCCTCAAGGCCAGCCCAGATGGTCAACAGAAAATACTTATTTCAACTCATCTCTCAGAAGATAGGAAAACTGCTATGTCATATTGAGTTTTATGAGTTTTGAGAATGAAACTAATCATTTTATGCCCATTAGTATCCCTTCTCATCCATCAGCCTCCCTCCACACTAGACAGTCTTAACAGTATAGATTTTTTCAAAAGATGAGGAGAACTCACGGACCCTTTTTTGTCCTGACTCTTCCTCCCTGCCTTTTCTTTCTGGGCTCTGTCTTAGCTCTCAATCTGTCCTAGAAAGAGTAATAAACATTAGAATCTTATTGAATCAAAGGACACTGGTCTATCAAATGTCTATGGAAACTTGGAGTTCATCTACATATTTATTAAAGCAAATCACACCAAAGAGTTGCTGGAGGAGAGTATTCATCTGAATCACTGAATGTGCTATGAGCATCTTGGAATGGTTCATCATTGTTTTTCCGAATTCATATAAAATAACTTGCCCATCTTGCTTACCTGGGATTATGCTTCCCTGTCAAATTTCAATGCTCCTGTTTTCAACATTCTCATCATTTTCCAACCTCATGTATGCTAGTGCTAATGACCTCACAAATCTTTCTCTCATTTCATGCCAAATGGAATGGGAGAGGAGACAGAAAATTGTCCTGAGCCTGCATCTCAATCAGCTTGCAAAATCATGAAACTGCACCCTTGTTTCCTAGACTCTACTTTCTTACTTTTTTGACTCTATCTTTAATAATCTTTTGAGAAATCCTGTCTATTAATAATGGTTTTTGCCTTCTTTTAAAGATTGTGGACTTCTCTGCCTCCAGACAGACCCTTGGGTGACCTTACACTTTTGTGCAAGATGATGTCCTGGGTTTCCTTTTTAATCATCTTACTCTCTTGCTCCTGCCAGTTACCCAACTCTTCACCATCAACCTCATTGGAAATACTCAACGCAATTCGAAAATCACAATGCTTTCCTTGGATGAATGTTCTCATCCATGTCTACTAGTGAATGGCGCTAAACTCATCCAGTTCCCTACACCAGAATCAAAATGTGAAAGTTTATTTTTCTCTTCACCCTACATATTCATTGCTTCATCAAATACATTCACTTCTCTCTAACTTCCTTAGAATCATGAGTTATTTAGATAGCATCATCCCTTCCCTGGAGAACTGAATTTCCTATTAGCCTAAATCCTGATTTCAGTAATAACAATTGTTATTCTTTCCATGGTATCCAGACAAATATTTTTCAGGATTCTCATTGCTGAAGATTCCACACCAAATGGTCTGTGTTTTGTTCCAGTTTCATTTTCTGATTTTGCTGTTCATTTTTTTATGATGCTCAGCATCAGGCTCAGACCTCATGCTCACTAGACAAGTACTCTGCCCCTAAGCTATTTCCCAATGTGATACAGTGTTTGGATTTAGACAAAACTGGATTGCAATCTCATGTGAACCTGTCATATGAACATCTGTGAGTTTCAGTTCTATCTTCTGGAAAATTGGTTTAATAACATCATCTGTCTCACAGCCTAGTTGTAAACACTAAAGTAGACATCTAAAAATGAATCCTGGGACCAGAAACATATTAATCAATGTCACATACATGCACACACCCATTAGCTTGAAGGTTTTTTATAAATTCATATTTCTCTTAGATTAAATTCAAAGTTGTTCATTATGGATTGAAGTCTGTACTTATTGATACATTGTGTCAATTTGAGAGGTTTAGAAGCTTAATTAATACACCAATTCTGCATCCTGCAGTGTAGAGGATATTCTTTGGAATGACTGTTTAAGCTCCAGGATGTTGTAATGGACCATTCATTTTGCCAACTTGAGAAGATTAGAAATGTAACTAAATGACTCAGCAAGGGGCCAGGATCCTTACCTTGTAAAGATCCTCATCCTGTGCAAGAAAAGGACCTGGAGATGTGTGAGTGTTTCACCTGCCCTGGGAGGGGTAGAAACCTGCTTACAATATAAAGGCAGAAAAGAGGCTTGCTTTCCCCTCTTCTGTCTTCTTCTGCATTGAAGTGTTGTTCGAGTGCTGTACCACCCTGCCTTAGAGCCAGCTGATTATGGACTGAAACTTCAAACTAACTGTGACCTAAATAAATCTTTCTTTCCTTAATTTTGGGTGTCAGATATTTTATCTCAGCAATAAGAGAGAGAAAATTAACTAAAATAGAATTCTAACCTCCCACATAATGATATCTAGATCTGGATGATCAGAAAGTAAGTAAAGTATGAGAATGGTGCCCTAAAAATAGATGCATACCTCGATTGCCCCTGCCTCTACCATGTAAGCCAGGAAGACAGCTCTCACAATTATAGCCACTCTGAAACCTTGGTGTTGAATATCCCAACTCCAGAATGGTGGAAAGTACTGTCCGTTGTTTAACCCACCAGTCTGCTGCTCTGTTGTGTGGAGTAACGAATCAAAGGACTCTTCCTACTCTCTATTCTAATGCTGACACGGTTGTCATTCCTGAACTTCACCTACCATCCCTTGTTTCCTCTTCATTCCATGGTCAAACTTCAATCCAGCCTAACTCCTAGTTGCTACTGAAAACAACACACAGGATGAGCACAGAGACTAAAAGACAGAGGACACATTAAACCTTGTGGACATCTGCAGGCAGTGCCCCATGACTTAGTCATCTGCTATCACTTGTTAGACTCTATCCACTTTTTAGACTCTCTACCTCCTCAGCACTTCCACACAGAGCACCACACCTCCTGCACAGAGACCCTGGGAGACACAGCACATCCAGTCCTGGCAAACAGGAAAGCAAAGTGGGGTTCACTGGGCACAGAGGCTGTTTCTTTCTTCAGCATTTGTTTTGATCACTTCGTCAAGAATCAGAAGGCAGAAGTTCTGCATTTCTGTGTCTTATAGTCGGTTCCATCACCTACACTTTATACTTTTAGAGAATGAGTTGATATCAATAGAGAAAGCCTGCCTGGTCGCCTCCTTGTACACTGTCTTGCTGTGGAATCTCAAACTCTCACATGTACCTCTGTAAGGGCACAGTCCTAAAAATAGTAAAGGCACAGTTATAGGACAGCAAACTTACAGACATGCAAGAGAATAGCAATCTTATAGAGACATGATAGCAAGTTAAAAATCAAATAGTGACCTCTGCCTATGCTTCTGCTGCTTATCATGTAATGACCCTACTAACTTCAGTCAGCTTTAACCTCTGAATTCAGCTGTTTTCCTTCTGATACTGCACTGAGTCAAATTGGCTATGTCCAGCTTGTGTTTTCTCTAGTTCAAGAGTATGTGTAGTTTCCACCTTTGTCAAAGACTTTATTTAGGACAAAGTGGCCCGGTCAAAGACACCCTTAACTTTACTTGCTCCACTTGAACCTCCCTCCTTGTCCCCAGGATGTTTCTATATTATGTTAAACGACTTCTTTTAAGTAAATCTATTTATAATTAGCTTGCCTGACAACGTATGGCTTAGTTCTTGTCACCAATCATTAATAATTTACCATCAGCCTTTTACTTCCTTCCTGCAAACTATATTTCAGCCAAACTCTAAACTGACTCATGGCTGGTGGTTTGAACTCGGTTATAGTCCCTCACATGATAGCATCAATAAACCCTGCCTTCTCAATTTCTCAGTCCAAAGAGTTTTCCATTCAGTTTGATGTTGATTTTCCTTCAACATCACTACGCAATCTACCATGTTGTGATGGATCCAGAAGACCTTGGCTTGATCTAGCAGATGCTGGGTCAGACTCTTAGACTTCTAAACCTATGAGCTACATAAACCTCTTTTATTTACAAATTTCCCACAAGTAGCACTGTGTTACAGCAATCTAAAGTGCACTGATACAGTAAGCCACGCATCCATGCAAATTGAGTACTGCTTTCACTTTACAAATGAGGACTCTTAAATCCAAGGGAATAAGAAGAACGTGAAAAGAGGTGATGGTGAGTCAGTTTGTCTTAGTAAAAGATGATTCTCTTTCTCCGATAGCAGATTCTTCTTAGACTTTGAAAGGTGCTGCACTACTGCTGTGCAAGCAACTTGTTGCCCTTTGTGCCCATTTATGATGCATGTCCGATGTGGAATTTCATGCAGATAATGTTCTTAAATATGAGTAGATAAGCTTCAAGGGAAAAAAAGCACAACATGGATGAAGGAATAGTGAGCTCCAGGGCACAGGGAGGAGGGCGTTACAGAATGCAGCCCAACCACCATTGCAGATTTTTATTAGGACAGTATGGACCACAAAGACACTCACATGCTTTCCAAGAACTACAGCGACCACGGAGACCAACATTGTTCCTGTGATGCACAACTTCACCTCTAAATATACCCTGATGCCATCATGAGTAGCTGTTCTAGTCCACATGCCCATTCCCCCTACTGTGGTTTTCAGGCCATGACTTCATCCCCTCTGGGTTGCTCTCTGCCCACCAGATGACATCTCCCCTGCCCCAAATAAGCTTCTTCTTCATATGTCTTTATCATCCTTGCGTGGGTTACAGTCTCATTTACGTTTCAATGGGTACCTGTGAAACTATGAAAATAGGCTTTTCATTTAACTTCTAAATGTCATGAAAACTTTTGCGCAGAGTCTGGTATGTAGTAAATCTTCACGATGATACTCATGGTAATAAAAAATATCATTTTCACGGGCAAGATTGTAAGTAGCAGTCACCATTTACAATAAATTTTACACATGCATCAGAGGGACATGAAAACCATACCACACTTACCACACTGAAAAGGAACTAGCTAGTTATGTTTTCAGAAATTCTCAGCAGAGCATTTAGGATTTAGGAGAGCTGCTAGAAGAGCACAGAATTCATCTGACTGAGGTGTGCAGTGTGGGAGGAGACTGTGATCGCACACATCCTGGCCCTGGTGGACAGAGAACGTGACCTGTGGCTTGGAGGAAGGTAAGTGTGTCTGGGTACTCGCCTTCCTAAGCTGGTGAGCTGAGGGTCTTCTTTACCGGTCCAAGGACTCCTGGAAGTAAAACAGGGAAACATGAGGCCCATTCCCATGGCATCGCCTGTTGCTCTAAAGAAAGGAGGGTTGAAAACACCTTAGCATGTGTGGTTGGTGCATGTGAGGCACAGCCTTCAGCAGAAGAGAGTGGGAAGGAAAGGCCAAAGATCTCCTAGGGGTTAAATCTGGGTGCTAGCATAAAATTGTTCTCCAGAACTCTGGACTATCAAAACTTTACAGTAAATGTTTTAAACAGTTGACTGATTGTTTCATGCACTCTGAATGCCCCTTTCTGGGGTTCTTCCTCCCAGTCTCTGAATTGTTATTTCTTTGTACTTCAAAAGTTAAGATCTGTCATCGCAACATTTGGTAAAGGTTGTACAGGGATGTACTCATCCTGGGGTAGACCGCGGTCAGACTTAGTTCTCCAGCATTACTTGGCTTGATTTCTTTAGCCACCCAGCCATGAACAGAAGCTTTTCATAAGGGAATCTACTAGTGGAAATCACGGAGAGGATTCATAGCACTGTGGCAATCAGAAAGAAGAGTGGAGAAAATCATACCAATCCATTCTTTTCCCAGATGAGATGCAAGACCACCAGAGTAGAGGCAACAGCTTACCCAGAATGTTGGCCTTTGCTTATGATGATGTAATCATAGCCTGTGGTACTGCTTGGACATTTATATTAGAGAAATCTGTTTCTTTCTTTCCGAACTCTAGTGTATCACAAAACTGATTTCCTTTAATAAATTTGGCTTCTTATGGGATTTCTCCTTTTTTACTGTTCTCTCTGGCTCTCATAATGATCTAGGAAATAACAGCTATTCACCGGTGCATTCAATCTGACATTTATAGACAGTAATTTATGTTATTTACTTCAGGAAGTCTCTTATGTTTGAAAAACACACTCGGAAATCTGTGACCACAGTGTCCCTCTTCCCTGACACTATAATTCTCCACAAATTCATCCTGATGTGATATTCATTTTAAGCAATAATTTTTCATGATTCATATTGACTGTAGTTGACTCTCAATTTTTTAAAGGTGGGATTCTAATTCTGTCTCTCTAAGTTGCTTTTCAAAATTTATAAATAAGAAGCATGAGTTTTCTGTTTGCAATTTGTACTTATTTATTTCAAACTCATTCACATTACATGTTCCTAATAAATCGTTATATTCACCTTAAATTTTACAATTTTTACTTATTTATGAACTGCCATTTTGTATTTTTACTTTTTATTTGCTTGTTTGTTTGTTTGATTTTTAAACAGGGTGTTTCTATGTAGTTCAGGCTGGCCTTGGACTCACTATGTAGCTCCTCAGGCTGGCCTCAAACTCCTGGCAATCCTCCTGCCTCAGCCTTCCAAGCTTACAGAGATTCAACACAATGCCCAGCTATATTTTTACTCTTCTCTAGAACTTTCCATATATGTGCTACCAAAAATAATGTTTTAAGTGATTAATATTTTACTTTATTTTTTCATATTTCTCTAAAGTAGACCTCTCTTCTCATTTATGTCAAATTTCTAGTGGATGTACTAATAACGCACTTCTTTTTATCTATCATTGCAAAATATAGGTTGACAATACTCCCTGCATACCAAAAATTTTGACACTACAAATTATCTGTGTTGTGCTGTAATAAGAGGGCAGATGCCTCCAAATGTAGGATTTCTGCAGAGTCTCAGTGAGGCATAAATGGTATCAGACTCAATTGCAGGTTGAAAATCTTAGTAAATTTCACTCACTCCAACATCTATGGAAATAGACCATGAAGCATTTGAATTCTCTCTCTCCCTCTGTCTCTCTGTCTCTGTCTCTGTCTCTTTCTGTCTGTCTCTCTCTCTATACCTCCCTCTACCTCCCTCTCACTCCCCTTCTGTCTCTCTTTATCCCTCTCTCCTTCTCTCTCTAACATCTTGTCTCTTTTACTTCCTGGAATCAAACAGCTATTATAACATGGAATGGGAAGGTAGATAGAGTTTCTCCTTATGCGCTAACCTGCCACAAAGTGTCAAGCTTCTCTCTTACCATTTCCTGAAACCATCCTTAATTGCACTTCTTATTCTAGCACTGTTTTGCTGCCATGAAGACCCTGCAAGATGTGGAGCCAATCGCACCTGTGGCCGAGCCACCTTTGGTGTGGCGGGGGAAGCCTGAGGCTCTGGCCTTACATCTGTGGGAAAGAAGGAGGAAGACATTCTTGAGGGGGAAACCAGAAGCCTTGGGGGTGAGTCAGCTGTGGATCAGGGGAAAGTACAAAGGGGTAGGGAGCTCACACCTGACCCATCTCATGCCAAACACTTGCCACTAGCATATCAACCCATGCTACAGTGATCGGTGCTTGATTATTGAGACCCATCATCTGGAAAATGGTTTATTATCACTATAATACCACATCATGCCTCTTGTTTAACCATAGTTAACATACAGTGGTTCCAGGTTTGAGTCACCCTGGTTATGGAAGAACAACAGCAGAAAATGGTCCATGTGCCCTGGCTAGGGACCCCAGCTGCGCCTTTGGCCCAGAACCATGTTATACCTGGATTTCTCTGGTGCCTTTGCTTAGCTTGCTTCTCAAGGAATAAAAAAAAATTATACTCCAAGCACTTCCTCTTGGAATCTCATGTAGATATGCTTAAAGGAAATGGAAAGTTTAAACGATGACATATTAGGGAAACTGAAAAGACACTGAGTATCTGTCTCCAAATTCAAACCAGTGGGAGAAAGATGTCAGTGTAGATACTTGCAATCCTTTGTTTCCCACTACTGTATTCTAAGATATGGTCAATATACTTTGCATAGTAATGAAATATGTTACATGTTAACATATTAGTGTTAATATTATAATAAAGCAATATAGATTTTTTTCTTACTGTCAATGGAACCCAGGACCTTTACACTGAACTAAATTCCCAGCTCTCTGTCATTTTTTTGACATATGCTCTCACTAAATCTCTAAGTTGCTAAGTCTTGGCTTGAACTTGCAGTCATCTTGCCTCACCTCCCATAGTTCTGAGATTCCAGGTTTGCACCACTATACTTTGCTCAGATTTTTAAAATACTTTTCTTAGAGCAGTTTTAAATTCACACCAAAATTGAGGAGGAGATAACTTCCACATGTACATGTTTCCCAATATTCACCTTCCTCCCCACCATACTTTATCTGTTACAACTGATGAACCTACACTGACACACTATCGTGACTGGAATATCCCGCTAGAGCTGCAGGTGTAATTCAGTGGGAAAATACTCATGTAGCTTATATAAGGCCCTGAGTTCAATCCCCAGCTTGTATTCACCACTGAAGTATTATACAAGTAGTCCCACTGTCTAAAGGCCTCTGTAGTCTACCTATTCATCCTTTCCTTACCCTAAGCCCTAGAAACTATTATTCTTTAACTGTCCCCAAAGTCTGCATTTTCCAAAAAATCATACACCTAGAATTACACAGGAACCATGCAAATTTGTACCTTTTTTGACTTTTGACATTTCTGTATTCAAGAACACACCTTTTATTTTTACCTATTATCAAGTTTTTGCCCGTGGAGTTATTCATAACACTCCTTTTTTCACTTAGTATTTGTGATGATCCTTCCTTTCATTTCTGATATCAGCACTTTGTGTCCTCTATTTTTCTTAGTTTTCCTGGCTGGAAGTTTATTGGTTTGATTTATCTTTAAAAGGATAGCTTTTGATATTACTGATTTTGTATACAACTCCCTGTATTTACTTCATTGAATTCTGATCTAACTTTTATTTTTCTTTGATTACTTTGAATTCAGCTTGCTATTCTCTGTGTAGTATCCTGACATGGAAGCATAGGTGACCAACTTTAAATTTTTCCTTTTCTCTAATATGTGCACTCCATGCTACACACACTCCTCCAAGCATGGCTTTTACAGTGTCTCAGAAAACCTTATAAGTTGGTTTCATATTATTTCTTAGAGTCCTTTTTATTGCTCTAAGATCATTTTTCCCTAATTCCCCTCCTTTTGTACCTCTGTACAAACAGTCATGTTCATGAGCTCCAGGTCCAAGAAGAGTATATCCTCTAATTTTCCTTCCCCTGCATGACTTTTTATCAGGTTTTTCTCCCCTGCTTGAATACCTGCTTCCTAAGTCTTTGGTCTCTCATCTCTGAACATGTGGCAAAAGAGAGAAACAACATTTTGAGGGCAGGTTTCTGCAAACTCTTTTTCACCATGAAACAACAAAGTTGATGACTAATTATCAGACAATGTTTTCCATAAGTTAGTAGGTACGCAGTTCTTTTTGTGAAGAGTGATAAGAAAATATTGGGAAGGTCATCTGCCCCAATCAAAAGATGCTAGGAAAAAAGGCTGCCTGAACATCATTCTATGGTAGATAATCACCATTTACTTTTCTATCATTTCTAGGTTGTGCAGATTGTGATTGGCTTAATAAACTTCAGCTTTGGACTAGTATTCTGTTTCTTAATACCTATTCTCCAAAACCCCATTTTGTTTAACATGCTCTACTGGCTCTGGGGGTCCGTGGCGGTAAGTACAGTACCTTCTCAGATACCTGGAGGTAATGTCTCTGCTCATCCTGAGATTTGGAAACTTGCCTTGACTCTGTCCTGTATTTCTAATATTGATTTGAAATAAACAAGATCCACCTCTGTGGCTTGGAAGCAGTCACATCTTAAAATATCATGAGAAATTGAACGATGAGGCCTTTTATTAAAAACAAAGTGGGGGAGACTTGGCTGATACGTGGGCCATTTATAACATATGACCCATCATACCAAATCTTAGCAAATAGTTTCCTTAAAAGATGGAATAGCTACCAGGTAAATGTTATTTCCCAAGTTTAATAATAGCTATAATTAAAATTAAATTAAAACCAGAATTTGAAAAACAACTTTAAAAATCCTTACAACAAGAAATTTTTCCTAAAATTTGGGAATGTAAGTCTCAAGAATCGTGCTTTACGTCCTAATGAAAGAAAAGTAAAATGTATGAACTGGGTTTACGTTGAAATTTGTGAAACTATGCAAGTGTTGTAGAGCTTCCATTTATCTATAAAGACGGACTTGAGATAGCAAGGCTAGATAGCGGGCAGAAGGAGTTCGTGTCTCCTCCTATCTGAGAGGAAGAGCATACTGCAAGATGATGAACATTGGCCTACTTCTGGGATGTCATGCACACTTTAACTATCAAATACTACTAATAGGCCCCTACTATGATCTGGACAACCTACTGTGTTTCATACATGCTATTCCATTTCAAACCACCACCAGAAACTCTGAAGAAGGATTCATCATTATCTTCCTTTTATGGATAAAGGAAAAGGAACTTAGATTAAATAACTTCCCCATGATCACACTACAATCTGGGAATGAAACCAGAGCTCACAAGACATCAACATAATTCAAAAGCCCCATTCATCTAATGACTCTAGTTATCTGATTCCTGCTTCATTTCCTCTCCAAGCCTGCTTTGGCCACCAGTTCATGCAATTCAAGCCAATGTATGTGGGTAAAGAGGATGTAAGATCTGTCTGTCAACTGAGGTATCACCTGTGTCCAAGTAGAAGAGTCCCTTCTTAAACATGGGGCTGTTTTTCCTGTTTGCTTTTGCTTCTTTTTTTTCCATACCAGGAACCAAACTCAGGACTCTGAGCTTGTCAGGCAGGCACTCTGCTGCTGAGCTGGACCTCTCACTAGTGCTACCTTCTCTGTTCTTTTAGTTTTACTTTCAACCTCACCTGTAAAGTACCTCTTTTCTCTACTTTATAATATAGGAGTAGCAATATACAAACAATTACAAACTTCTCTTATTTTAGGCTTCTTTAGTACAACTATATATTAATTAATGTAATCTCACAAAAGTATCTCTGCATGAATTTATTTGTTGAAATTCTACTTTGCATGCTTTTGGAACAGATGTTTTATTAATAAAGGGATTGTGCAATTCCTTTGGCTAGAATTGTGGGTTTACATGAATTATTTCTGTCCTGACACTAGAAATGTGTTGAGGTTTACCAAACTATTATCAAATCTATCAACTTCCATTTTATTATGAATATTTTTTGAGATTTCTAAAAGCAAACTTGGAAGCAAAACCCAAAAAGAAATTCAAAAGTTGAATAATTTAAGGCACAAAGTCAATCTAAGTTGTTTCTAAATAAAAAATAATTGCCTAATTAATGAAATCAAATATGTTAGTGCATTCTAGTGATCATCTAATAAGGAACTTAAAATTCTTGTTTGCCATTATTTCATTTAGAACACATAAAAGACATTTCAAATGATTAGTTTTCAGTTTCTTTTTCATTTGTAATATCATACTAATTTTCCTACTATACAACATTAGTGTGTATCTGGAATTTCATTTACCTGTCAATGCTCACAGTTTTGATACCATTATAATTAGGTCATTTTTGAAAAGCTTCATAAATTCCCTCAGAAATTCATCTAGTTGAATTCTTCTATTCCTGCTGTGAGAAGGAACCACTATTTGCAAATTTGATTCTTCTAAGATAATTCATTTGTTTTACATACTTGTCTCATGTATGAGTCAGTTTTACTTATGGTTGTATTTGTTTGAAGCTTACACATATTTTCTCTCTTATTCCTAGTTTATTATTTCAGGCACTTTGTCAATAGCAGCAGGCACTAGCACTACGAAACGTCTGGTGAGTAGTATTTCCTCACTCTTACTCATTTTCGTTTTTTTCTGCCTAGAGAGACTGGATGACCCCACATGTACGCTTCTGTGGTATAAATGGACTTCTTGGCTAATGCTGTGTTATTTTTAAAAACTATTTTTAGATTTTAAAGTGTATATATTTAAAGTATGTGCACACACACACACGCACACACACACACACATAAACAAACATAACCAGCTGATTATAACAATCTGGGTTCGTCTTGTTTAACTTTGATAATGAACTCCAGGTTTGTCAATGTGGTTGTACATGGCCTTCATTTTTAATCCCAGTACTTCACTCTAGGTATACACACAGAGTGTGCTTTCAGGAGATATCTACATGCAGATGCTTCATCAATCAAGTTATGTTACATCAATCAAGTGACAGTTTTTCTCCTATCTTGGAAATTAGTATAATTTTTCAGTGAATGTAGGTGTGCAGATATCCGCACAAGGTACTGTGTGTGGGGGGGGGGTGGCTGTTTTTTGGTACCAGAGATTAAATTCATGACCTCACACTTGCCAGGCAGATGCTTATGCCACTGAGCCTAAATCCACAGCCCTCAAGGTTTTAATTTGATTTGGGTATATGCCCAGAGGAGGAATTTGCTGGTTGTGTAACCAATCTATTTTTAATTTTTATAACCTAGCATAGTTTTTCACATCCATTCCCACTAACACTGTATAAGGCTTTATATTTTTTACATCCTCACCATCACTATTTACAAAGTGTTTGCTTCCTTTTTATACTATCTACTCCAAAAGGTAAGAGGTAACATAAAATCATGGGTTTGATTTTCATTTAATTCATGACCAGTTGTATAAGCCACATTTTCACATAACATATCTAAATAGATTCTTTTAAAAAATGACTACTCAGTTACTTTACTTATCCAAAACCTAAATTATTTATATTTGCTGTTAAGTTGTATGAACTCGTGAATTTTGCAAATTGGCCTCTTATAAGATATATACATTAGATATCAAATTTATATTGATAATGTTCTAGAGATCAAAGCGGGTCAATTATGTAAGAAATAGAAAAAAGAGAGGAATGGGAAGCAAAAGATGAAACTTCAGTTGATTACAGGTTATCCTGATGTGTTCATAGGACATCTAAAAGAATCTAGAGGGAAGCACTGAGAATTTCTTTATTTTTATTTTAAAGAAAAGAAACAATAAAAACAATGGTACAAAATTCAAAAAAAAGATTATAGGAGAATAACAATTGTTAGCATGATGCATATTGTTATCTTCAAAGTAGTTGCTCACATTACAAGATATAAGCATGAATAATGGTTCAAACAATACAGGCACAAATTTTTCTTTTCAATGAACTAAAAGCAAATAGTATTATAACTAACTTAACTGTTTATGTATTTACTTATTTATTTTTCCTTTTCCCTTCTTTCTTTTTTCCTTTCCCCTGTTCCAGTTTTTCTTTTCTTTTGAACAGTTCCTTCTCATTTCAAAATAAGAATTTAAAATGAACTGTACCTCTTTTCTACATGTATGTTCACTATACAAAAATTATCTACACACAACTGTAATTTCTAATGATAAAATCTAATAATAACAAGATAACCAAGTAACTACTATTAAGTACATATTTTAAAAAAGAAGTTCAAAATTTCTATGCAGAAAATGTGCAAAATAAATGGAAAAATAAACTAGGCAAATGAAAAAGAAACTCACCATTATAAAGATGCTTTTCTTTGTCAGTTAACTTAAGTATTCAAAACTGCCACAATTAACCATTGATAATTCATTTTAGGAAAATACTTAGTTGATTCTACTTTATATAAAAATCCAATAATGATAGCTATGAATCTGGCTTCCATACAGAGTTATTATGATCTAAAACCATAGAATCTGTCAAAGATTAGAAAAACAGCTCCTGAAAATGGGTTTACAAGGATTGTGTAGTAATGTCCCCAAATTTTGGGTATGACCTAAAAAGCACAAGTACCAAAAACATGAAAAAATGGTTGGAGATACGTTAACCTAAAAATCTCTATGGAACAGAAGATAAATCAATAGAATAAAATGGCAGCTTCAAGATTCAGAGAAAATACTGCAAACTAGGCTTTCTTTTTTAAAAATTACAAGAGATTGTGAATTTGTCTAGTTGGAAGTGTCTCCCAGCAGCTGTAATCAAACAACTGACTGGTAAAAGAATTACTAATGTAAGACTGAGCATTTTAGCAAATAGTTGCTGATGGAATCTTCATGAAGATACAGAAAATTCCTGAGAGGAAATGTTAAGTAGGTTCATTCAAACAAACCTTGACACTTGAGACCCAGCTCGAGGTAACATTGGTATCAAGCATTGATGTGGCCGTACAGTTAATGAATTGATGTATTCAATTCAATCACATGCAGAAAATATATTGAGTTTGAAATTAAAGGGAGTCATAATAAAATTGTTACATAAGAAAAAGAAAATTCAAAACATAACCTTTTCATAGAAGCAATTAAAAAAAACCATTGACTGGATCTCAACCAATGTTTCCTACCTAAGGACCATAGTCTTCACTGTCCAAAAGATAAAATCAGACTCTGAAGGATGATCAATACAACATTTAAAAATTTGTTCTTGACCTGCCTCCACAGGATCTTCTTCACCAAAAACCAAGTAAATGTAGTCAGTGCAATTTCAGTTCAAAGTGTCCCCATCCTTTTAGAAAAAATGTGCAGAGAGTGTTAAATCAGAGGCTAAAATATGCAAAAGACATTGAACCATGACAAATAAGCAACATTTAGAAAACTATTAGAGGTCAGGTATCTCAAGAAAACAAGCTAGGAAACAGACAGACAGGGTTATCTGGCACAAGTGGAAAGGGCAGAGAAATCACTGCTAGGAGATTTGGAGTTTGTCTTGTATCCCCACAGGACTCATATGAAGATTGTAGCTTGGGAAAAGACAAGATCCTACCTGTGGTTTGATGAAAAATTAGCACTGAAACTAATTGAAGGAAGGAGATGTTGAAGTAATGGCTACTGTTTCAGACATTATAGGCACAGGTATAATCTGCTATAATGACTATGGAAGTAAACCAGATGGAGAGTGTAGAATGTGTTGAGAAGGAGCATCGAGATGGAGCTGAAAATATTTTGTATTGCTTAACTGATTGCTATTGCTTTCTAGGTCAACAGCAGCCTAGGATTGAACATCACCAGCTGCGTGCTGGCTGCAGTGGGGACCATCATCATTATAAACTTTCTCACTCTCTTGTCATTTGAACACCAAAGATGTACATATACCTTTGACAAAATTTGTTCCTCGACCCTTCCCACTGTACTGGTGAGTTCTTCCTCCTTTTATTGGATACTACAGCAGAAATGAATCTGGAGAGAACTGGCTCTTGCAAAAACAAAAATCTCCATCCTGTCATTGATGAACTACTTTGAGAAATTAGAAGGAATTGAAAAATAAAGCATTTTTTATTTAGGAGTCTAATTCATATCTACATAAGGGACTTTTAGTAAGCCAAGAATTGGCTGATACTTTTTGCTATTATCAGAACCCAGAATCCAGAATCTCAGACAAAACTTTTAGTGTTTTACCACTGTCATTAGTGTTAAAGGTTGGAGTCTGTCATCTCTATTCATTATACTCTTTTTCTACGAATATATATTTTTAGGGTATGGAAAGTGTGGTACTCATTGTAAGTGTGCTGGAATTCTGCATTGCAATGTGTCTCTCTGTCTCTGGATGCAAAACAACCTGTTGTGACCCCAGTGAGGTAAGTATTGACATTCACTTGAAGAATTCTCTGGAGGTTTTGTATTGCTCGATAAGGAATTACCTAAAAGACATGTTTATTATCTCACAGTTCTATGTATCAAAAGTCTGAGCACTCATTAACTGGATTCCCTTCTCAGGGTCTTACTAAGTTGTGCTCATGGATTTGGTGAGGGCTGTGGCCCATTCTGAACCTTCTGCTCTGCTTCCACTCTCATACAGCAGAACCTATTCCCTTATAGACATAGAACTCATGAGAATGTACATCTGCATTGAGAGCAGCAGTAGAGAGAATTTCAATCTAATCTTGGACGAGGACAATACCTACGGAGAGAATACAGCAACCAGGCCCCCTGACTGTTGATACTAAAAGGCCCAAGAGCCCACCTGAGCCCCTGGCCTACAGTCTACCTGCTTCCAGCTGATACGAGAGGGCTGATCACATTTCTTATCTGCCAATGGGAGAAAGGGCATTCTTTGGCTTGGATAGTAACCATAGACTGGGGTGAAGGGACAGACAGGCCTCTGGACCAGAAGGGTCACTTGGAAAATCATAGACCCTAGAGGTAGTTGAGAAAATCATCTGTCTATTCTGCAAATCTTGAAAAGAAACTACTCATCCAAAAACACAGGAATTTTTTTTCCTTGACACAATCTCTTTTTCATTTCTATATTTGTAAATAATTAGATAAATTTGTAAATAATTAAATAAATTTTTATCTATCTTCATCAAATTTTTAAGAGTTCTGCAGGTTTTTCCCCTTCTTTATTTTTTTAGTCTTAGTTTCTTTTATTTTTTCCTGTCCCCTTTCATCTTTTTCCCTTTCTTCTTATCTTTCTTATATTTCCTATATTTTGGTCTCTGTATTTTTCTACTGTGGTGGTTCCCTAACACCATTAATTTACTTTTACTCTACAACAGGGGCCATTATCTCACTTTTCTCTCCAACTCATATGACATTATTTATTTCTCAAATTTGGGGGTTATTTTTCATGCTTTGGTTACCCAGCCCTCTTTACCTTTCTGTATGGCTATTAAGCTTTGTTATGGTTTGTGTCTAGATGTCCCCCCAAAGCTTCATGTGGTCATGGGGCTTTTTCAGAGGTGGCTAAATCTAGAGTATATGATGCTGAGGTTAATGGTGTATGATTATTAATCAATCTGCTGATTGATGGGGCACCACCATAATCCCAGCAGCCTGGATAAGATATAAAGGACAGAAAGATGCTATTCAGGCTCTTCATTGCTTTTGCTGTCTTTGGCCACCATGAAGGCCACATACTGGCCTGGCTTGCAGCCAGGAGATTATGGACTATAACCTCTACAAATACTGAGCTGAATAAACCTTTTACCCTTTAACTTTGGGTGTCAGGTATTTTGTCTCAACAATGAAAAAAAGTAACTAAAACAAATCTTTATGAATCTAAGTATCTAGTTAACTTCACAGTTTTGCTATTGAGTACTGTTTTATTTTAAGTAGAAGCAAAGTTGTTCCATTTAGTAGATAATTATTATGGGTTCACAGTACATCAATATTGGTTTTGCCTTCATATTCGTAGTATAGCTAGAGATCTCCATTCTGCAGTTAAGAATGGTATATTATTGGTGCTTAAGTCTCATCAATACTTGGTTGGTATTTGATTCTATAATTCATGCTGATTTTATTACTAATAGCCCATCTAACACAGATGTTCCTATGAACTCATTTATTAAAAGGATTGAAATATTTTTAATTCTTGCATGAAATTCAAATATGTTACCTAGAAAAATTCAAGAAACAAAAGTTCAAAGTCCATGATACTGTGTTTGATACTGTGTTTGAGGAAAAGGCCAAAAACTTACACTGAAGAAAACACAGCTTCTTAAATAAAAGGTGTTGGAAAAACTGGCTATCCACATGCAGAAGACTGGATCTAGACCCCTATCTTTCACTACATACTAAATTAAAATTGAAGTGAATCCAATAACTAAATGTTAAAACAGAAACACTTAACCTGGTTGGTAGATAAATAGGTAAAATTCTTGGCCAGATTGGGACAGCCAGACCCTAGCGTCTCCCCATGAGTCAGCGCCATTCACAGACCAGGGATAGAGAGAACAAAGCACAGAGTGCAGGTAAATCCAGTCTGGGAAGCAGCGCCATGCTTGGAGCCCCACTGCACTGGAACAGCCAGACCCAGCCCCTTTTGGTTTGTGAGCTGGCAAACAAAAAGTACTATCCCACACAGGGGTGTGGAATTGCATCCCCAGGCCATAAGAGACTGGCTTATCCAGAGAAACACAGGCTGTGATGATAGCTATGGAGGTGAAATGCAATTGGATGCCTGTGGTGCTTTGGTGTTTCACTAATATTGCAGGTCTAGGGCCGGTGGTCAAATCATAGGCTCAGAGGATAGTACACAGAGTTGCATCTAGGGGTCTCCTCCTGAGTGTTACAGCCATTATTGATTCTCTCCGGTCTTGTTTTGAGGTCCTATATTGCTTTCATTGTTTTGTTGGGGTGGGTTTTATTCTCTTTTGTTTTGTTTGATTATGTCAAATCTGATGGAAATAGCAGCTGTTTCAAAGATAGCAAGATATATTATGGTAGCCATTTTGGATTTGCTAGTGGTTTATTTTGAAGTCCTGTATTGCATTCATTGTCTTGTTTTTATTGTTTCTATTCTGTTCTGTTTGATTTTTACTATGTCTGAAGTTATCTGCAGCTATTTTGAAGACATCAAAAGGCATTATAGTAACTATTGTTGACTTTGTAATGTTTTTAGGCCTGTATCTCCTACACTGGTTTGTTATGATTGGTTTTATTCTGTTTTATCCTCTTTAAAATAAAAAACAAAATAGGTAAAATTCTTGTAGTCATAGGTGGAGGCAAGGACTTTCTGAACAGAACTCTAGTTGCACAGGAAACAGGTAACAGTATGGGGAATCAACATATCATAAAGCTTCCAAAAAGCAAAAGAAAAAAACCAACAGAGTAGAAAAGCCAACAGGATGGGGTAAAAGATTTGCCATCTATTCCATAGACAGAGACTAATACCTAAAATATATAAAGAACTTAAAAAATTAGGCCATCAAAATAAAAGACCAAATCAAAAACTGAACATGTCAAATGAATAGACATATCACAGAAGTAGTAAAGGTGGCCAATAAATATATGAAAAAATATGCAATATCATTTGCCATTAGAGAAATGAAACTTAAAACAACACTGTGATTTCATCTTACCCTTAAAAGAATGCCTACCATGCAGAAATCAAATAATAACAATTGCTGATGAAGCTGTGGGGTAAAAGGATCTCTCCCTTCTGCATTGTTTTTGGAAGTCTATGACAACCACTATGGAAATCAGAATGGAGATTCCTCAAAAATTAAAATTAGAAATTCCATTTGACCCATAAATTCCCTTTCCAGGCATCTTCCTGCAAGAGTTAAAAATATTAAATTACATGCATGCCCAGATTTATAACAGCATAACTCATAAGAGCTAAATCTTGAAAGCAGATTATATGTCAATCAGCAACAAATAATAAAGAAAGTGAGATATTTATATATAATTACTGTCTATCACAGCAATAAACTTAACTTATTTGTAGCAAAATAGATAAACTTTAGGACCATAATGTAAATGAAATAAATTAAACACACACTTTAATATTTCCTGGTATAACAAGAAAACTAAAAGATAGGTATTAGGAAGTAGGGAATTATTTCTCAAATAGGAATGGAATTAAGAGACACAGGAGAATGCAAAGGGATGAAAAAAGGAATTCATTTGTGTTTTGTACATGCACTAAAGAATTTAAACATTATCTACTCTAAACCTATATTAAAATTAAAAATAATAACAACAGTAATCATAATGGATTCACAAGATTAAATATAATTGAGACGGAATATGTCTTTTTTGATATATTCAAATTTAACTGCTCAGATTCTTACCTATCATACCTTTAGATCTGGGTGTGGGTCATGCATATCTTAGAATTCTGCCTATAACAATGGCTGAAGAACTGGGTTCGATATCTCTCCTTACACTCTCACAGAACATCCTCTCTGAGTCTAGGTAACAGGACACTTCACAAGGGAGAGAAACCTAGTGATGCCAGATTTTACTTGATTAACATGTTATTGAAACCTTCCCTCAGCTCCTGGATAAAGACCATGGATGAAACTTCTCTGTTAGTTGTACAAACCTGCCCGGGTCTCACCCTGAGCCCTACAGTAGATTTTCCTGTTTTTGTTTTTGTTTGTTTTTCACAGAAAGAAGTTTGCACAGAGAGGAAAGTAGGAAATTGAATGAGTAAAGAGATCAAAAAAGAAATTTGGGAACAATTGGACAAGGGTATCCTCAAGTATAAAGGGTTTATGTTGGTCAGCTATTCTATTTCTAGGATAATATACCTGACTCTTGCAACATAAAGGAGGAGCAGTTTATTAGAATCATAATTTTGGATGGTTCAGTCCCTGGATAGCTGGCTGCAAGATAGAAATAGCATGGTACAAGAGCCTGGCAGAGGAAAGCTGCTCCAACCAGCCAGCCAGGAGGTAGAGAGGCAAAGAATAGCCAGAGCAATAGATACAGCATCCAGAGGTACACTGCCGTGGAACCAGCTCCTCTGATCTGGCCAGTCAATTAGCAGTACATGCGACTATGAACTCACCCAGGATGAATATAGCACATCCATAATCCAACCACCACCAAGACTCCACTTCTAAATGCAGGAGACCTTGGGAACCCAACAATAACAGATTCCAGAACAAAAAAAAGGAGTTTAAAAAACTCTGACAATGCTTATTCTGTTCACTACCTAGAGTTCCAGAGACAGACAAAGTTCACAGCCAAATAGTGAGATAGTAATAGTACAGGGAGACTACTGGGGCTTGTTTGCATCTTTCTGTGTCTGTTTGCCTTCTATATGGTTTTCTGGGAACATCACATTGCATTAGTCCAAATGCTGTCACCACTGGTGAACTAAATCATATTGTTTCAATATAGATTTTTGCATTATGAATGCCCTACAAGTGCAAGTTTCCCAGATGTTATCTATGCGTGTGTAATTTTGATGAATGAAGTATTCTATTTACTTTTGGTGAAACTTTGGAGAACAAAGCAAATTCCTTCATAAACTTCAAACTTTAATGTTTGAGTCTCTTATCCTGTCTGCTCCAGTGTAGTACAGGGCTGCAAATTGTTTCTCCCTATCTCCTGTGTGATTTGAGAAGAGCAGTGGCCTTGGGTATATGATGTCCAAGCTTCTATGTTGTTCTGGTTAGCCCCCTGTCCTAGTCAACTCAACATCACACTGAGTTGTGGAAGAAGGACCAGAGCTTTCCTTACGTTCATGAAAATTCCTCCCATTATGGGCCACCATGGCTCTTGCAGTGTGATATTCATTATTACAATAGACTGTGACTCGGAGATGCTGTTGTCATCAGCATTAGGAATTAGTTATGAAGAGGAGTTCTGTGCTTTCCATGACACTGTGGTAACCTACCTCATCAGACGCTGTCATCTGCATGTGACATCAGTCTATGCTAGGACTCAGCACAGCCATCAGCATCTGACACTGACTGCATGTACTTGATCTGGCATGATATGAAGAATGTCTACGTGGTCCAACAATTGAGACTGAACTGAAAGATGACAGAGTAAATTCTAGCGTTAACAATATTTCTTTGGCAGGAAAGGGAACCTCAAAATTATTTGAGCAAGCCACTTATAGTGCTGTGATTTATATTACAGGCTTTGTTACTTCTATCAACAAATATTTCCATGGAGGAAACTTCTCCTGAACCAATTAAAGAATGTTTGGAGACGCAACCATATGAAGAGATAGAACTCTAGGAAACCCATACAAAACTTAATATATGAACTCCAGATTTTGTGTTCTTGTATGAGTATAAAAGCTCAGAATGATGTTCTATTTTCTGCAGAAACTCACCAACTCATTGTACTGGTTCTTTGTCAATATTCTCTTCAAAAAAAAGTAATAAGAACTATGAGAGTAATAAAACCCAAAATGTGTAATTGTATTGTAAAAAAGAGATGAAAAGAAAGTGCTCTAAAAGATATAACTGCATGTATCTTTAAGTGTATAAGATAGATAACCATATTACTAATTTTTTTTGGATCATTGAACAGAACTGTTTGCAGTCTCACTGTTTGAATGCCCACTTTCTATGCTTTAATTGTGTAACTTGAACAACTCTTTCTAAGATGACAATACGTAATCTATTAACTAGTGATTTCTTTCTGTTTATTTTTTTGAAATTCTGTATTACTTATACGCTTTTTCTGTTTTGGTTTTTTTTTCTCTTTAAATAAAATTAATTTTTAAAGCTGAAGAAATATATCATTTATATAATAGTTGCGCTTGCCTATTTCTCCTTCATCTTCAGCTTTTCATATAAGGGCATTAAATTGGCTTTGACAGCAATAGACAAAAAGATATTACTGAAATGTATAAGAAGAGCCCTTAATGTAGGCTACATATTTCTAATTGTTTAGTACAATATTCTTCTCTTTTGCATGACTTTTTAAAATATATGTTTAATGAAACAACTTCATTTTCCTTCAAGAAGCTGAGAGACATGTATTCTCCACCTTTTATTTCTCATTCTTTCCTTATTCCATGTAAAGTACTACAGAATAACATAGCCAGTCCACATATGTGCAGAATATTAAGTACATATGCATCAGATTCAACTTTCCTGTTTCATATTTCTCTGTGTTTTCTTCTACATGGCAGGTACTAACCAAATTTATAACAAGTATAGTATATATCAAGGTACATTATGGTATATGCTAAATATCTATTACGTATATTTGCTTCACTTATTATTACTGTTTTCAGTGCTATCTCTGCTCTCATGTGACCTACGTTGATATGGTCCCTGAGATCAGATTTCAAATCTTGTTGGAACTACCATCCCTACCAGGGCTCATGGAATGCACACAAAGTTTAGAAAGTTCTTGAGGAATGTTAATAGAGCTGTGCGATTCTCAGGGTAAAGTTCTACTTTGCCTCATGATACCAGACTTCAGGATCCTCAGGAAAATTGCATGGAAGCGAACCTGGAGCTCCAGAGCTGTGCTGTCCACTGGAGTGGTGGAGATGTGGGAAAGACCTCTCACATCATCCATGCTCTAGATGGCATGAGGGCCTGCAGATGTTCTTTTCCTACTGGTACAGATGGTGGGGGTGAGGTTCCATTTTCATGGAGTAAGATGAAATATGTCCAGTATCACTGAGTCACTGATGACATTCTCCTTGATCATGGTCCAAACCCAGTGTCTTGAAGGCTTATCTCCTGTCAAATGATTCCATTCCCTCTCTTCTTCCTTCTTTTTAACTTTATATGTAATAACTGTGTATATTTATGGGAGAAAATTGCTGTTCTAATTTATGCATACATTGTGAAATGAGTCAGTAAAACTCATTTTCTGTTACCTCACCAATTTAGCAATTTTTTGTAAAGAAGTTAAAATGGTTCCTTTATCTATTTTGATATATGAAATGTATTTTTATTAAATGTGATCAGCGCACCCAACATTATTTAAATGCATTCATCCGTCTGACTGAAAATAATTTTTTCATCTACATTTCTCTCTGTCCCTGGCACCTGAAAACTCCTTCCTGCTGTCTCTTTCTGTGACATCAATGCTTTTAGGTTCCATGTGTGAGCAAGTGGACATGGTATTTCTCTGATGGTACACCGCATGCATCCTTTAGCACAAATGATTCCCTTTGACACAAGCCAATATAAGAGCACACAGCTGGAGAGGCATCTAATGTGCTTGTTTTGAGGCATGGTACTGATTCATGCGGACATAAATTACATTATCTTGGAACCCTTGAAACTTGATTTTGCTTTCTCTTGATTTTCTCACAGTTTTCAAGGGAATTTCTATTACTTATGTGACATAGTCTTTACATCATACTTTAAAACACAGTTATCAAGACTCTCTGCCACTCAATCTTGTCCTTCTTGCTATATTTAAATCCTATTTTGTCCTAGCCAGACACCTCCCACCTGAAAATCTGTTCTTCTCTCTTCTCCTGTCCATCTCCTTCCCCATTCTTTCCTTTGTCCACTCAATAGTGTCTATGCTCTTCTCTAAAGAACATGTTGCTCCAAAACTGTCTTCTCTCTTTACAAAACAAAGAAAAAACTTATTTACTAGTTCTAAGGTGCTCATTTTTGTCTTAGGATTGGTCTTTTTCTCAATCATTCTCACTCCAAAGGCAAAAGACATGATCTGTTTTGAAACATGTCTTACGCCACGAGTTATTTTTTTCTCCCAGCCTTTCCCATGGAAGTTTTTCATAAAGATGATAGCAGTGTAGCTTCTCTGTATACACAAACTGGCCTGAAAATGCTTTCTTCTTTGCTGAGATAAATGCTTTATCATTGTCCATGAATCTCTCTCCTTCATCACAGAAAGGGTCAGCTACACCTTTGGAGAATATGAGAACCATGACACACAATCCAGTGGATCAAAATGAATCTTACAACACTTTAGTTGTGCGTCTCTCCTTGAAAATCAGAAAATAAGTTCCAAACCAGCTAGAAGTGTTAAAAGTGGGCGTTGATTCGGGATACTTCTTATCTTTGTCTTAAGCAGATTCTCCTAGCTATGGTACCGGCACTTTAATACCCCAAATCTAGTGCCCAGGAATCTGTAATCAAAATATCTACCTTCAAATGATGCCATTTTGGTAGACAAATTTAGGTCTTCGCTTATGATGATGAGGATGTCAGCAAGGTTACTGAGCTCTTTTTATGGGTATCCACTATTTAAACTAATGTGTACTGTGTGTGAGTTTCAATATAAATTCTTGAGTTCTAAAAACAGTTATTGGTCATTTGTATTGCCTAAGAAATTAATTTGACCTCGTGTCAATTCTTCTAGGGAAAATTCAAATTGGAACTAGTAGGGGTAGGAAAGCTAGGTTATAAGATGATTGTGTTATTTTTAATTCCTTGAAGCCAAAGATCATATCTTTCTCACTTTGATCTTATGCCCAATATGTGTCAATAAATTTCAAATGTCTGAAAAAGTAAAGAAGTTAGAGAAATTGCTTGTGTCAATGTGTGGAGAAAGGATAGAGAAGAAAGGAGACAGAATGACCAAAGAATTTAACAAAGAGCTAAAACCAAAGGAACCTCATTGTTGGTCTCAGACTGGAGAAAGAAGCATAAAAAAATTCTGAACATCAGAGGACCCAATAGAATACGATCCTGCCAGAGTGGATCAGGAAGGAGAGACTGTGATAAGATATTTCAAGAAAAAAATCTCATAAAACTGATAATATGGTTCAGTACACATATATACATTGTTAAAGTGTCACATTTTCATTTGAATGATTATTGCTTCTGTTTTGAAATCAGAAAAATTATGTTCTGTTGAGAAATAAGGGAAACAAAGATAACACAAATTAGTAACAAGCACTATGTACAGCACAAGTGCTACTGCATATCCATTAAGTGCTATTTGAGCTTTAATGAATGCCTTTTCTGCCTAAGAAAATGGAGAGAGAGAAATCCTTCTTTTGAGAAATTTTCTTTTCTGTGTCAGTCACATGAAGCAACCTCCCTGACATGCCAGAAGAATGTTACCCAGAAAATCAGTTTGGGCTGGCCCCTACTCACCACCAGTCCAGCCCCACTCCTCATGCCCCTGGCTGCCATATTTTCACCAGCACAACCCAGCCCTCTCCATCTTAATTTCCTGGGCTTCTCTTTTCCTCCATTCATATTTCAACTTATGATAGCCCTAACTTCTGGATCAGCCATCCACATACTTTGTTGCTAGGAGCAATGACTGAAACCTGAGTAAAATGGTAAGGCTGTCCACCTTGAGAGATGAAGTGCTTCTCAGTTCATCTCACACATAGCAAATGCTTGGTAATCTAGATTTTCACTCCTTACACAACTTCCCTATTCCAACTTGGTCCTCTGGGTGTGAAATAAGTCATAACACCAATAGATCTCTAGGCTATAAAGAATGTTCATTCTTCTCAAGTCTTTCATTTCTTTAAAAAAATAATTCTGGGGCTGGGGATTTAGCTCAGTGGCTTAAGTGACTTCCTGGCAAGCACAAGGTCATGAATTTGATCCCTGGTACTAAAAAAATAAAAATAAATAAACTAAAAAATAATTCCATAACAGATTTGATACAGGGAGTGTCAACTATGTAGAAAATTGGTTTTTTAAAATTTTTTTTAAAAAGGAAAAAGAGAAAAAACAAAACGGTGTATGGGTACAGGTAATACAGAACTACAAAAAAAAAGTAAGAAATCACCAGTTAATACACTACATATTATCGTCTTAGAGATAGTTGCTCAAGTCACAGTATCAAAGCATACAAAGTGAACATTCAAACAGAGAGACTGTCAACAGTTGTGTTCAATGATCCAGCCAAAAACATTAATATGGTCAGCTATTTAAACCCCTAAAAACACTTGCAGTTATATTCTTTAGAGCACTCATTTTCCCTCTCTTTTTTACAACAAAATTTACACATTTGGGGTTTTATTACTCCTTAGTTCTTATTACCTTTTTTTGGAAGAGAATAAAGTCAAATATGGCAAAACAAAGCTGTCAGTCAAAACCAAGGATAGACATAGCACATGATGTAAAACAGAGTACAAGGTTATCAACAATGGTTACCATAATGTCTCTTGTTTCCTTAAAAAGAATTGTCTATCTCATTAGGTATTATAAAGTTGAACAAAACAGTAGAGAACAAGACCAATAAAAGTTAGGCATTGTAAACATTATAGGACTTCCAAAGGAGACAATAGTCAAACCAGAATGGGCATCTTAGAGAATCTTATTGCCTTCAAAGTAGTTGCCTATACCCCCAAATTTGATACTATCATACAGAATGGAACAGAGTCTAATCAGTCAAAATAAGATAGCGGCAGTATTAGAGGACTTCAAAACAAATTAATAGGAAATCAAAAAAAGTTACTATAATATATCCTGCTATTTTTTTAATTTTTCCCCTTAATTAAAAAAAACCATAAAAAATAACTAAATATTTTTTAATGAATAAGGCAGACATTGAGATAAAAGAGGACATAACAACATAACAGTACAGGTTAAAGCATGACTGGTATCAGCAACCCAGTGCTTCACCAGCAAATAACCCAACTTAATAGTAGTTACCATGATGTCTATCTTTTTCCTTGAAACTTTTGAATATAATTTCATATACAATAGCTTCAAATATTGCCATATCAAGAAGCCCAGAATAAATACTTTCCAACTAATAACTGAAAACTTTATAAGGCTTCAAGGCCTCATAATGGGGAATCATGATTACCACATACTTTTATATATG